GATTTATAAGGAGCTAGCACAGCATAGGCAAAGTGACCAATGTAACAGAGGCAAGATCTCAAACAGCCCAGGCACATTTGAAACTTCTCTGTGTCTCAAGTCACACTGGAGACCCATAGAGAAGTGTTGCTGCTACAGCTGGATACCCAGTTGTGCATCTGCATCATGCACAAAGATGATTCTAGCAGACCGCAGAATAGAACTTTAAAGTTTTGAAAAAGTGAAATGACTAGATCACTGATGCCGGCTAGGGAAGGGATTCTTGAATAAGACAAAGAACCCTATGTGGGTAAGGTTAATACATTTCACTATATTCAAATGAAGTCCTTATTCCAAACACCGTCAGAAACTGAAAACACAGGTCACAATCTGGTAACAGATACTCATAATATGGTTGACGGGCCCTTCCTGGTGGCACAAGTTAAGGCACAGCACTGCAAAGCTGTCGCTTAGCTGCTTCAGTGCAAGTTCAATTCCCCGCCCTGGAGGTGACCCACATGGTGCAGCAGACCTCTCCTGTCTTGCCTGCTGCTCCCCTCAGCAGTGTACTTCAGCCATCTGCATGTTCTGCTCCACACTCTGTCTCTGGTGAATCTCCTCACCCCCCACCCCACACCTTTGACCTGTATCCCAGCTCTGTATACATAAATAAATAAATCTTTCTTAAAAAGATATTCACAATGCATACAGTGAACACTATTCCGGATGTATTAAGGACTGACTCCTTAATCAGGAAGCTGGGAAGCGACCTGAGAGAAGAAAAGCACAAGAGATGCAAGGGTTAGCTTGGACAGGTAATAAACATGTGGGAGCCTCCCACCACCACCACCTTGATGGTAATCAGGGAGGTGCAAATTAGCAGGGAATATGATTTTATTCCCATTGGATTGGCAGAAATAATTAGGGCTGGCAGTAGCAAGTGCCGGAGAGGACACGTGTCAGCAGGACCCCATACACTCTGATGGAGGAGACGAATAGAAAACCTGAAGGAGACATCACAAGGTTAAAACCTGACTCATGCCAGGAGGCGGGGGCAGAAGGAACTAACATGACCATTAACTCAGTCCCAGAGAGGCCTGTGTCAGTCTGCTGTGGGGAATATCCAAAGCCCTGACCTGAGGGTAAAGATATAGAGATTCGACATAGTCATACAGAATCAGCAGCAAACAGGCCACCCCACAAAGCAGTGACAGCCTATATCAGGGCCATCTCTGCACCAGCGCGGGGCAGCAATCCTCTCCCCCCCCCCTACGCAGGCGCCTGTTTCCACCCACTGTCTCCCTCCGCAGGGCGGCAGCCTCCTGCCTGCCCATGACCTGTACCTGCCAGGCTCCTCTGCACTGACGTCCCCGGAGCCGCCCTCCTAAGGCCACTTGCCTGCAACCATGCAGGCTTCTCTCAGCAAACCTGACCCTTTGGGGCAGCTCTGCCGGCCTACTTGTGCCTATGCAAGAGTCCTTTACTGCTCTGTCCTTTTCCATAATAAACTGCTCTTTAAATATAACTGAGTCTCTGTCTCACAGAGAAACTTGCAGGGGAACTAGCCATGTACCGCTGAAAGGGGAGCTTTGAGGGAACCTTTCCCAGAGTGAATCAAGGACCTGGAGCTCCAAAAACATCATCACACACTGCCGGTGTGACCCCAGATTCTTCCAGACACCCTGGGAACGAACTGAGCATTATCTTTGAAAACATCCTGTGACCTAGCCATCCTCCACTGAGGACATACATCCAGGAGAAGCTTGTTACAGAAAAGCGAGAGGCGGACAGGGGTAAGACATGGAGGACAAGATAACCAGGATGTTCTAGCTGTGTGTAGCAAATTTGAGGCTATCAAGAAATAAAATGTTAAAATGTTCCGTTTATACTGAGTCGCTTCAAATCCAACAGTGTCACTAGAGAGGTGTGTAGTAACAGACACAGCTACGCGTGGTGCATTGTGGGAGCTCAGCCAGCCTTGAGGATTGTGGCTTGGGTAAGGTGACTCTCCAGGGCCGGAAGGAATGAGGTGCATTTCATTTTGATAAGAATTCAAAACCCGGCCCTCCCTGGTGGCGCAGTGGGTTAAAGCGCAGCACTAAGAAGTTCAAGCCACTTCCGCATGAGTTCGATCTCCGCCAGGGAGGTGACCCACATGGCGCGGCAGACCTCACCTGACCCGCCCGCTGCTCCCCTCTGCAGCGTACTTCATCAGTCGGCCTGTTCTGCTCCCCACTCTGTCTCTGGTGAATCCTCTCACTGCCCTAGCACCTCTGGCCTGTGCCCCAGTTCTGTATGAATGAATAAATAAATCTTAAAAAAAAAAAAAAGAATTGAAAACCCCTTGCCCACAAGTTCTTTCTTTAAAACTGAAGAATGTGATAAAGATAATCATGTGTTTTAAGCCTTTTTAGGATGATGACCACACTCCATGTTTCTACATGAAAAACCTCCACATCCACATGGATATCTGAAAATAAAATCTCCAAATATGGCAAAAGCATTTCTGTCGTTTTCAAACAAGCCCAGTGACCTCTTTGGTAAACAAATTACAGATGTTTTCCCCCAACCCTTTCCTCACCTCCCAGAATGAGGGCATTTAGAAGGCTTTTTTGAATTTAAAATTCATGATGATTTTTTTCTAAAGAGAAGATATTTAAGTGACAAAAACCTGAGTCAAAGTTATGCTCCCCGTGTGTCCACCCTGCCGTGGCTGGGAGGCTTTCACTGTGCATTGACATTAATGAAAAATAATGTGAAGAGAAGGGACATAAGCTCATGACAAAACTCTTCAAAAGGATCTGTAGGATGCTGCAAATATCAAAGACCTACCTGTAGGTAAGTAATAACACTGGCTTACTTGAACTAGTAGACATTTGCTTAACAATTCAGCAAACCAATGATGGTGACAAGAGGAAGGAAGCAACACCTGGAAAGTGCTAGATGCCTTTGTTGTTCTCATGGGACAAGATTTTTTGAAATAGAGCTCTATCTTGACAGGTTTAACAACCATTTTCCAAAACTGCAATGGAACAGATAGGTTTTTCAAGAGGGTAAAGCAAGCAAGTGGACTAAAATCCAAGTCTGTCTCCCAGAAGAAATCTTCACCTTCCCAGGGAGATTCTCTTCCCTGAGAGCAGGCACAGGGGAGAATTTCTACTTGGCCCCTGCCAGGCTCTGAGTCATTACTGAAGTTACCCACCTGGTGCCTGTGAGCATGTTACAGGGTGGTCCCCAGGAAAAGGGGAGGTTCCAGGTTCTCTGTTCCACCCAAAGGAGGGCAGAGCTGAGCAGGGAGGAGAAGGATCTGGAAAGGAGACTGAGGAGGAAGGAAGGAGAATGGAGCCAGGAGGAGATCTGAGGGAGGCACAGGGAGCAGACTTGTGAAGAAGCGGCTCTTGCTTCTTGGCCCTGGGCTGGTTGAAACAGACATGGTGAGAGACCCGTGGGGAGGTGACTGTGGCAGAGTTTATCTTTTGATTTTGCTCTTTTCCTTCCAGACTGTCAGGCCATTTCTGACTCTTTTCTATGGTCCCTGCTGGAGTGTCCTATAGACTCGTGGCGGACTTTCGGGTTTTGCTTCAGGCCAGTCCCTTTGGAGTGGACTTTTACCCACGAGAGGATGGGGAACTTTGGGCGTTTGATTTAGAAACTATATTCTTTGTCTTTTCTATATTGCACACCCATTGTATTAAAGTTCCTTTCCATGAAAGGTCTTTAATGTTTTGTCTTGATGTGGCAGATGGCAGAACCTATTTAGAGCAGGCAGGTTTGGGGGTTCCAGGGATGTCTTGGAACAAGAGCCCAGTTTCCATCAGTCTGCCTGTGGTTCCTTTGCATGGAAGAATGTAAAGTGGGACCTAGAGAACGTGGAGGGGGGGTGGGCTGTGCATTAACCTCATCACCCCCACTCACTGACAGCAGCCTCTGATGTTGCCAGTCATCATTTCGGCCTGTGTCCCCCAACAAGGCAGTGTGTGGTCCAGATTGAGACACTCAGTCTTGAAGGTGGCAGTCGCCCCGGAATTGAAAGACCTGGGTATGAGGGCTCCCCCGCCGGTTTGTAGTTGTGTGACTTCCCGCTCTGAACCATCAGATCTGCATCTGGAAGGCTCCGTAATCCCTTCATCCTGGCAGGGCGACTCCGAGTCGTGAACAAGAAACTATCTGCAAAAGTTGGTTTGTGGCCAGCAATTGTGGACAGATTGCCAGGTCACCTCCCTCTCCTCCCTCTTCGGAAGTCTTTCCCATTCTCTCCTCTGGTAGGAGCCGACACCCACTCAGGGTTAAGGTGGTCCAGGGTGGGGGCACTGCCAGGGGTGGACAGAGCAGCTCCTCTCTAGTCAGGCTTCACTTCCTGTCCACTCACCCTCGCCTCCATTTGCCATGCACTGATCTGCCCAGTAAGTATCTCTGCCGCAGCCCGGCAGCCCGAGAAACCTGTGGCGCGGCAGTTCTCGCTCACCACAAAGCTGTCAATACTCTCCTCGAGTCTGGTATTTTTGCCGAAACCGAAGTTGCCCACCGTGGCTGGAGTACAGATCCCATCTGGCCCGAAGGTTTAGCAGCTTCACGCTGGTCTCTTTGCTTGGAGCTGGGAGCCCCGGGACTAAAGAAAACAGGGCTGGGCCTCCAGGAAACCGCACCGGGAGTGTGAGAATGCTGACCGGAGCTGGAAAGGCCCCACCCTGGTTGCGGGCTTCCTCTGTCCAGTCTGACACAGGCGGAGGCTGGGGAGGCCGGGACACAATCACTGAGCAGGACTTCGCGATGGCGTGAAAGGACGGCTTGTCAGCCAGACCCAGGCCCAGCCAGGCTTCCAGAAGAGCCCTGCCAAGGCTAGAAAACAGGCAGCCTTTTCATTCCTGGCTCCTGCTAGGCCCCCACGGCCAGACGTTTGCTTGGTGACACTATGGTAACCGTGATGCCACAATGGAACATTCTCCTCAAGGTGGTAGAAGATAACCCTCTTTTGAGCTCTGCTGTGTAAGGCCAGATTGAGTTCATGTCTCCTTTCCCAGGGGCAGTTCACGGAACTCTTGAGAACCACCCTGACGACGAGAAGCACCCGGTGTATGAGGGGAGTGCCGTGACTGAGCGCAGCACGCGGGCGTCCTGAGGTGGCCGTGCACGTCCTGAGGCCAGGGTAGGTCTGGGGGGTGTGCTCAGGCAGAGTGAGCTGGAACTCCCCCTGCCTGCTAGGCATCCGCAGGACCATGGCAGGCTGCTCCGTGTCTCTGAGCGTCAGCTCCTGCATCCGTAAAATGGGGTGCTGACAGTGGCTGCCTCCATGGGGTTTTGTGTGAACTGAGCGACACGCCAGGGCTGTTCCTACGCGAAAGCCCCCTCCCTCAGTGCACTGAGCTTAGGCCCAACCAGCTGCACTTGCACTAACACCCTCCCCCACCCCACTTTTCTTTCGGCAGCATTTTATGGCTACAGAGTTCAGGCAAGGGTTGAGTTCCACGTGTCGAAACCCAGCCCCTCTCTGAGACCAGCTTGGGCAGCCTCCTCGCCGCCGACCTGCTTCCCCACCACCAACTGGACACCAGTGCTCACGGCTGGTGCTGGCTCCTTCCTGCTCGGCACCCACAATAGGGACGTGATAGGTCTGCACCCCACGGCTTTGTCAGTGGGAAGCAGCGAGGCCGGGTGAGGGTGGGGCGGGGCGGGAACACCCCTTCAGGAGGAGAGGGAAGAGCCGGGTTTGGATGCTCTGTTTCCACAGCTTCCCATGGTGTCTGCTGCGGTTCTCTCTGGGGATGGCAGAGATGAGAGGGGTGCTCTTACTGCTGCTGTACGTCTCCCGCTCTTCTGCCAGTGAGTGTGCCTCTTTCTTCCATGAGGACGTTAGCCCGTCTGTGACATGGCAGGGGAATCACCCCGGGAAAGCACAGGGTCCTTCATGGCCAGTGAGGCACTCGGGGAAGAGGACTCACAGTGCCTCGCTCTGGGCAGCGTGAGTGGGCGGTGGGAATGGGCAATGTGGCATGTGGGCTGGGGTGTTGGGAGCTGTGGCCTCCGCAGCCTGATGCCAGGGCTGGTCCTTGGTGAATGTGATCAGGAAGTAAGACTGGGCCCTCCTTCGGGATCGGTGGCGGGAAGCAGGTGGCGTTGGTTACTCAGCGGAGGGGGGGGGGGCTGCGAGAGTCAAGGTCCTTCCTACTCTGCTGTCGTGATAACACTCTCCATACGTCTATGAATAGGGAACCTTTTAAATACAGGGCAATACAACCATCTTCGGCCAACGCAGGCCAGGCAGGGGGAAAGCATGACTTAAAAGTTTACTCAACATTTTAACTGCCGTATGAAACAAAATCCACACTGCTCAGGACTGTCCAGTTAGAGGTGACCCACTCAGGGGTTCAGGAAGGCAAAGCCAGCAGGCCTGGGTGGAGCCAGGGTCAGCCTCTGCCTGGCAGGACCCTAGGACCCCTTGGCAAGATGTCAGGGAGTGCTTGGCTGGCATGATGCAGTAATGACTGAGCATGCCAACAGGGGTTTTGCTTATATAGAGCTCGGTCTTCCCACATTTATTATATTAGAGGTTATTTAAAACACAGGACTATGACTTCATAGACACTGTTAGCAGCAGAGTGAGGACATCAGTAGTCTCCACTGTACACGAATGAACGTAAAAAGCAAATAGCATCTTAGTATTTCTGTGAAAACAGTGTGAACCTTGCAGGCCCTGGACAGGGTCTTGAGGACCCCCAGACCACATTTTGGGAACCACAGAAGTCTACGGAAGGTTTCGGGTATCTCCTAGGCTGAACACTAGTGCTCAGCAGATAAGAGTGATGATCTGTAGCTAACGTTTGTAGACTCAAAGATCCCACAAGCGTCTTTCATGGGGAAGAAGACCCACTGGACTAAGAGCAGAGAGGGGGAGTGGTAGAGCGAGTGAACACCAAAACAGAGAGAGGGGAGCCAGCAAGAGGAGGGGGCGCTGAGGTCGGGTGCGGCGGCAGTGGTAGCAGACCACCACAGCCTTGCGGTGAGACCCCCACATCTCTGCAGGCTGTGGCATCCAGTACACCAAAACCACAGCATCTTCCGAGGAGGGCATGGTTCACAGCAGGGAGTTCCCGTGGGTGGTGTCACTGCAGGACTCCCTGTACACCCACCTGACTTTCGGCAGCATCCTCAGTGAGTTCTGGATCCTCAGCATCGCATCCATCTTTAAGAACAGGCCAGTACCCCTGCCTTTGGGGCCCACACAGCCCCCTGGGACGGGGCAAGGGGCGGGGACTCTGTTTCCCACTCTGCTGGGGGAGGTCTGGAAGGTGGCTCCTGGTGAGCGGGCTTCAGGATTTCTTTTTTTAAGGTTTATTTGTTTATGCATATAGAACTGGGGTACAGGCCAGAGGTGCAGGGGCGGTGAGAGGCTTCACCAGAGACTGAGTTGGGAGCAGAACAGGCAGACTGACGAAGTACACTGCTGAGGGGAGCAGCGGGCGGGGCAGGAGAGGTCTGCCAGGCCATGTGGGTCAGCTCCCTGGCCTGGGATCGAACTCATGCTGCGGTGGCTGTGAATAGCTTCATAGTGCTATGCTTAACCCCTGTACCACCAGGGAGGTCCCCTGGCTTCAGGGATTTTTATCTGCTAGGTGTTTGCTCCTCAATCAAAAATTGGGTGTCCAGTTGCAAGGTTGGTGTGTTGGGTGTCCCCGGCTATGAGGACTCCCCACTGCACAACAGCAAAGGGGAATGATTGTTCCCTCTTTATCTACAGGCAGGATCTTTCTCCCCATTTTACTATGATGGCAAAGGCTGGCTCTTAACACTAGACAGCCTTACTCATCTTGTTAAGTGAATGACAGGCGTCCCTCACCTTAAAGTGCTACCTCGGGCCTTAACAACGCCCTGCCACAAATACATGAAGAGAAGATGCCAAAGAAATACGAAGACACTTTAAGGGCACTTGTCTCTGGATGCTTGGACTGCACAGGCTTTTTGTCCTTTGAACTTCTCTGTAGTCTCCAAATTCTGTACAATCAATATACATTCTTTCAAGTCAGAAAAAAGCATGTTATAGAAATTGCTTTTTAAAAATCCCACTTTTAGACCCAATAATTTCACTTTTTGGGGATCAGTATTTACCACTAGGGAATCATTTTTACCACTAGGGACATTTTACGTACAAGTTGTCGACAGGTTGGCTAATTACTACAAAATACTAGAGTGGTAGCACTCAACTACCATGGATAAACTATTGTATAGTTACTCTCGTTTGGAGTACTGTATACTATATACTATATACGAAGAGCACAAAGGTAGCATAATTACACAGTTATCTATACATTATATAGTTACAAAGTAGGGGGGAAGAACCTATCACTATAATTGGCTAAATTATAGCAGAAACCTTTGGGATATTGGGCAGCTGCTAAATTTTTGACATATCTAAATAGCTAATAGAAAACATGTGTATTTAAATGAGGAGGCATGGACATGACAGCAAGTTCCTGAGAAAGAAGGATGAAAAAGTACAATGAAAAGTAGCTCCCTTCTCCCGTGTTCTTCAGTCACTACTACTCCTTGGAGCCACATGAATCACCAGTTTTCTGGATACCTGTCCTGAAATACTATAGCCATAGGCCTGCAGACCTGATTCTTAAATCTGTTGCGAGAGAGCCCTCTCTCCCCTGTCCCTCAAGGAGCTGGTAGGGTTGGCACAACACAACCATTGCTCACCGTTCTGGAGGCTGGCAGGCCAAGGTCAAAGTGTTGGTAGTCCTCTCCTGAGGACTGATCTTGGCTTGCAGACCACTGCTTTTTCACTGCGTCCTTGCCTGGCTTTTCCTCTCTGATGTCTCTATCTCCTTTTGTAAGAACACAATCCTATTGGATGAGGGTCCCACATGTATGGCCTCATTAAATCTTAATTTCCTCTTTAATTACCCATCTCCAAACCCAGTCATACTAGGGTTATGTCTTCACCTGAATATTTGGAGGGATGCAATTCAGTCTATAACACCCTCTCCTTTAACAGCTGTAGCCTATCACAGTATTTCACTTTTTTTTTTTAAGATTTATTTGTGCATACAGAACTGGGGTACAGGCCAGAGGTGCTGGGGTGGTGAGAGGCTTCACCAGAGACAGCGTGAGGAGCAGAACAGGCAGATGTATTGAAATATACTGCTGACGGGAGCAGCAGCGCGCAGGTCAGGAGAGGTCTGCCGTGCCATGTGGTCACCTCCAGGGCCAGGGATTGAACTCTCCCTGAAGCAGCTGTGGTTCACTTCAGCGCTGCTTCCCAACCCCTTGTGCCACCAGGGAGGGCCCATATTTCACTCTTATCTTTCTTCACTCTATTGTGAAAGCTTGGGGGGAGGGTGTCTTTATGTATAGCGCATTCTTTCCATCAGCTACATAGTGTCCTATGATGGATGTGCCATGGTTACACAGTCCTCAGATGATGCACATTGTGTCATTCCAACCTGTTCTTAGCAGAAAATCTACTTGCACATCGGGTTCTTCACATACATGCCCATATAGAGCATGGACAACCTCGGTGATAAGGACTGGGCAAAACTTCAAGCACTATTGCTGACTTGCCCTCCAGAAAGCTTCTGAGTTCTGGTTGTGTTTTCATTATTGCTATTTTCTATTTAGTCTGATGTTTTGGTTTTGATTTTCTCTTTCACTCAGAGTTTTATGAAACTGTTTTAAAATATCCAGGTGGTAGGGAGCTTCCTGGTATTCTTTTCCCCCTGACTTTCAAGGGTTGAGTTCTAATACAAGGCAGACATTCAGGAATTTGTTGAACCTGTCCTTGTGGAATTTGGTGATGTAACTAATATGTGGGAAGTGTGAATATGGTCCACAGGTAAATTTAAAAGTTCATTCTCTGTCCCTGGTGTACAGTATATAAAATCGCAGAGGGTGGCTACTTGACCTGTCCTTGGCTAAGAGGTAAATTAAAATCCCCTCTCATGAACACACTTCTGACATGTTTTCCCTCCTATTGTCTGCATTTTCTGCTTTGTAAACATTATGTCCCTTAGTGTAGGTAGTTATAACCATGAGACTGAACTCGCTGTAGTCTGGACTTGTGACCACCTGGAAGTGACTTTCTTTGCCTTATTTAATGCTGCTCTGCTCTGAATTGAAGTTCAGAATGAAACTCCTGTTTCTTGTTTTGGGCTTAGGTTGTGGTTTCTATTTTTATTGCTTCTTGTTTCTCTTTTCATGATATCACCTGTGTGTGTCTTTTCTGACAGATCTAGACAGTTGTGTTTGGGTTCTGGTGTCCATCTTAGAGTTACAATTTCATGGATGACACTTAAATCCTTTGTGTCTTTCTGGACAGGCCTCTCCAGAGTACATTGTGACCAGTGTCAGGATCTCCATCTCTTCACTTATTCCCCACTCTGTCACCTGTATATGGGCCTTAGTGTTTTCCTTGATCATATACACATTTGCACACTTTACTTTATACATTATCCATAAGGGATATGTGTAGACACCTACAAAAGGTGAGGAAATTGATGTATATACCTCTCTTCAAATTTAGTTACACCATTTGGTTATTGCCAGGATCAATATTTTTACTCCAATCTCTAATCTCAAACACTTTTCTTTAGTTTTCATTTTAGTTCAGTAGTTTAATACAATGTTAGTCCTTTTGTTGGGTTTTTCATTCAGCAAAATTTGGCTGAAATTTGTCTTCTGATTTTTCAAGGGCTCCCAGGAACTCTTATTTCCTTGGCTTTTGCATCTTTAGAAATATGTTGCTGCCCATTAACTTAAATGGCCACTTCTAATGTAGAATTCATAGACCACACATTCTTTCCTTTTAAGGAATTAATAGGAATTGCTCTCTGCCTTTTGGTATTAAATCTTGCTGTGAATATTTTGGAATCCGTTCTGACTTGTCCCTTTCAATGTAGGTGATACATCCTAGGATGCTTAAATCTGTTATCCTACTACCCCATTTCACTATCATAAATTCCCAGGGGCAGACAATAGGTTATCAGGCTGAACTCAAGATGACTTCATATGTTTTTATCTGGATGCCCAATGACTCCTTCTTTGTCATTGAAGGCCAGAAATTTTTTTTTAACCATTCTTTTAAATTTATTTTTTTTCTATGTATTTTTTTTATTATTACAAAGTTTACTTTTACATCATTTTGCACAATTTTTTTTCCATCTCGATTGTAATCCCCGCGGGTTTCCCATCACCAAATCACCCCTGTGCCACCACCATAGTTCCGTGCATTTCCCTCCCCCCCCCCCCGTTTTTGATCCCATTCCCCACTCCACCCCCACAGAATGTCTCTGGTATATGGTTGTTCATTATTTTTGTTATTTTCTCGCCTGGTCCATTATACTCCTGCTATGAGTGAAACCATCCGGTATTTTTCTTTCTCTTTCTGGCTTATCTCACTAAGCATGATCTTTTCCAGCGCCATCCAAGTTGCTGCAAAAGACATGTGTTTCTCTTTTTTGGTTGCTGAGTAATATTCCATTATATATATGTACCACATCTTTCTAATCCAGTCATCTACTTTTGGGCATTTGGGCTGCTTCCATGTTTTTCCAGTTGTAAATAAAGCAGCAATAAACATGGGGGTACAAGTATCTTTTTCAATCAGTGTTTTTGTGTCTTTTGGGTAGATACCTAGGAGTGGGATTGCTGGGTCGTAGGGAAGCTCCATGTTTAGCAGTTTGAGGAACCTCCAAACAGTCATAGTGGTTGTACTAGTTTGTATTCCCACCAGCAATGCAGGAGAGTTCCTTTTTCTCCACATCCTCGCCAACATTTGTTGTTGCTAGTTGTTTGAAGATGTGTCATTCTCACGGGGGTGAGGTGGTATCTCATTGTGGTTTTAATTTGCATCTCCCTTATTATGAGTGATGTTGAACATTTTTTCATATGTCTGTTGGGAAGGCCAGAAATTTTACCAGCTGGCCCTTTTACCCATGAAGATCCCTTTTCTATTTTGCTTGCCTTGGGGGGCTGGCCAGTATGGGGTACACAATTAAGCTCTCTTACCTTTTTGGTACCAGTTGGGTTTAGTCAAGGGCAGCACTAGGAAGAGGTCAGAAGGAGGGAGGAGAGTGGATTAGGATGCCCAAGAAGTACTGCAGATGGCTGTTCCTCCAGCCAAGTTGCCCACTGTCCAGAGCTCTCGCTGTGGTTGTTACATCATCTGGAAGTGGCATATACCCAGCCAACAGGACTGTTTCTTGTTATTTTCCTACACCCACCCTTTGTAAAGAGTCCGTATTAGGCTTTCCTCAATTTACCGTATCTGAGGGTGACATCTCTTTCCTCGGGCTGGGAGATGACAAGGAAATGTCTTAGTGTTGATCACTCTGTCTCATTTCCTCCCCTAGGAGATGGAGTAAGCTTCCAAACTGTAGATTCAAGTTTTGTTCCAGAAAGTTTTCTTAAATTATATTTTGAAGTATTTTTTCTCTAGTTGCTTTGGCCTGCTGCCTCCATTGACTGCCAGGAGTGTCATTTTTCTTCTCTAGCCTTTAAGAATCTTGGTTAATGCCCATTTCATTGGGTTATTTTTCTGTCCTGTCTTCTGCGCCCCTTATGTTTTTTGTGGTCTTGTTCTTCTTCAAGCTGTTTCCAGTAGAGGCTTCCTTTTAGTTTGACCAGCTTTTACTAACCTTGTGGCAGGAGATGACATCTAGGACCGTTTTGCTGCCATCCTTCACTGCTGTCATCCAACTTTCTCCGCTTCTGAGGTTTGCATTCTCTAGTGTTTCTTAGTTTTATGAGGTTTGTATGTGTTTCTCATTCTTGTAGTCCTTGTAGTTCTCTGGATGACTCCCAAGAGGAAAATAGCTCACTGAACTCAATCAGTATTACAATTGGAATTTCTCTGGAGTGTTTACAAAGTATATAATATGGAACAATGGAATGATGCTTGAATTAAAATGTTAAGTGTTAATCAAGAGTCTTGTTTACCCTTTTGTTATTACTACAACTGTGTTTTAACATACCGTGCATAGAAGAAAATGATCAGCAACCAAATATTAACAGGTTCTTTTTGGGTGGAGGGATAAGGTATTAAGATAGAAAAATTCCCCAAGATTCTGTGGGCCCCTAAAGGAGGCATAACCTAGGGAATCAGAAAAGATGTCCCGGGGACTGTATCAAAAGACTCGAGTAAACTTTATCCCAGGGAAGATGAATTAGATGAATGTTTTTAGGAAAAAAAAAAAAAAAAAAAAAACTAGAAAATATGAAAACAGGAAAGTATGAAGTTTCTCTGGTGCCTTGGTTTCTCAAGATTCCCTTGCTCTCTTTCCAGGAAGGATGCTATTGCTATAGTTGGCATAGCTGAGATGGATGCCAAAGTGATTTTTCACAAAGAGTATCCAGTCAGTACCATCATCATCCACGAGGACTTTGATAATGACACAATGGCCAATAACATCGCCCTCCTGAAGACAGACACGGCGATACAGTTCAACGACCTGGTCAAGCCCATTTGCTTCCTCGGCAGAAAGCTGCATATACCACCAACCTTGCAGAACTGCTGGGTGGCAGGATGGAACCCTACGTCTGCAGTTAATGGCTTCCTTCTCCTAGAGAAGGCTGTGTGTGTGCTAGCCATGGGGTGACTTGGAGGAACTGTGCTAGGGCTTGTATTAATACTTCAGGTTGCTTGAGGGTCTGGAGTTGGGCTTACCCAATCAGCCTTGACCTATCCATCAGGATCTCTAGCGCTAACCCTTTCTGTGGCTGTTGTTACACTTGGTCCTTTTACTCCTAGTCCTATATCCAAATTGGAAGTTCACAGACAGGTAGCATGCGGTCTGAAATGAATGCCAGGTTGTCGAGTGGCCAGAAGACATTGTACCCTGAATTAGAGCTGACTGTTCTCTTGTCTAAGCCATCTTTGTTTTCCTTTTACTTTGGGAAACAAAGAAACAAGGAGATGTATTCTCTATAGGTATAGGAGGAGGGGGAATAAGTTCTCTCTGTATCTCCACATTCAAATTCAAAGCAAAGTTAGTTTTCAGTAAAAACTCAGACCGAAGTTCTGATAGCTACGAGGAAAAGGGGTCTATCAGAGTATTTTCTACGCATTTCCACTAGGATATGAGTTTCAGTTGGGTTGACATAGGGAATGTCTTCTTGTTAATAATTCTTGGGCTCTCTGTTGCATGGTCCAGACAGGAAATCACATGACGATGAGTATCCTGAGGAAAATCTCCGTGAAAGACATGAACCTGTGTCCCTTACGCAAAATCCAGAAATCAGGATGTGGCAATCATGTAGAGAAAGAAATTGATTTTGTCTGCTTGGTAAGAATATGATGGGGGTAGAAGCTAAACACTGAGCCTCGGGACTCCCGCTTGCTGGGCGGTGAACCGTGTGAGGGCAGCAGCTGTGACTTGGGATTCATGGCTGTTCCGAAGAGCATTTGGCCATATTGCTCAATAAAAATCTGCACACTGGATTAGCCAGTTGTCACGTTCATTGTGGCATGATTAAGTACATCTACATTACAGATGTTTTTTACTAACTACACATTTTAAAGTGTTGGTCCAAACCACACATGCAGATATATATATTTTTTATTTTGTACATCATTCTTCTTTTTGTGCATTTTTTTCATCTCAGTTGTAATCCCCGTAGGCTTCCCACCACCTGTTCACCTGTGTGCCATCACCATAGACCCGTGCACGCTTCAGTATGTCTGCAGTGTGGTCCACCCAGATGAAGGCTACCCTTCTACCTCAGGAAAGGTACACACACCCAATCCAGGTCCCCTCATAGAGCCAGCCACAGAGAACATATGAGTAACAGGTCACACAATGAGCATTAAGTGCTCATTAAATCTGGAGACCAACCCGATTGCCAAGCATGGTTTCTCTCCCTGCTCAAAAAGTGTCTTTCTAGGATGTTGATCACTCACTCACTCTGCAAGTAACATTCAGGATTCCCCCAACAGGGATTTTTTTCTCCCTCAGTTGACCTAGGGCAATTTTTTTTTTTTATAAAAAGGGTAAAAAATACATGTGTGCATACATTTCTTTCTGGAAGTCATTTTATTATAAAAACATAAAGGACTGTCTTTCGTGAAGCATTAAGTTTTGCCCTTCCAAAGGTGAGTCAGTATTTGAGTGACTGCTTTGTACTGGGCTTTCTGCCAGATGGACCACCTTAATGGTTTTTTAAATTAGGTGATGTGTTAAAACATAATAGAAGGCATAGCTATTTAATAAATCCTGCTGTCCGCCATTCCGACAACCTGGTACCATAACATGTTATCAAATCTAAGCAATTGTAGAATGTAATTGATGTAATACCAAAAGAGAGGAAAAAATAACTGCCAATTAAACCCAGTAGCAATCAATAAAAAGATAATAAACCCCATTTCAGAGGTGTTAATTTTTTAAGTGCATCTTAGATGCAAAGGAATATGCAAAGGTAAGCTGTTTCTACTCTAAATGATGATCCCTTATTTAAATTTTCTTGCAAATCAGATCATTGTTAACTGCAGCACACCTGTAGACACCTTTGCTGAACAGAATTGCTCATGCAAACGTGTCAAACAAATAAGCCAAGACACATCCACCTAGGGGCCTCTTCCTCTCTCAGAAATGTGTTCTAGTGTCCAGAGATGCTCAGAGTCACTTTTCTCACATGGAGAATAGACCACCCCAGTTCAGCATCTGCCAAGTGGGTCCTCAGAAACTCAACAAAGGGAGTCACTCTGAACTCACTCAAAACTAGAGTTGTGGTGGGTTTTTTTTTTCCCCCCACAACTGTCAGGACCTTTGTCCCCCTATGCTGGGACTTCACCAGTGGGGGGTGGGGGACTGGACTGTTCCAGAGCAGAATCTGGTACTTTTTGTCTCCATTGCTTGTGCTTTGTAAGTTGCAGCCCCAGGTTAGGAGGAAGAGAAGTCCGCATCTTCTATCGCTGTGAATGCAGCGATTGTTGGGGTGTCTACCAGGCAAAATCGTTCATCAAACTGTCCTCAGCTGCATTCTTTTGCTCCTCAACCACAGTTGAATGGGAAGGGGGCTGGTGAAAGGAGGGGAGATCACACCCTCTTGGCCAGGCAGACACAATGGGGGCAGATGAGGGCCTGCTCAGTCCTACGGTAACGACCCAGAACTCTGGGATGAACGCGCTACCTTCCGCGATGTGGAAAGAGCAGAGTGTGAAGACTCAGGCACTGGGCACCAGGCACCCCCTCTGTCTGATGCGAAGCACAGCGGGGAGTCCAGAATATCTGCCAGGAGGCCACCCCACTGGCAGAGTCCTCCTGCGTTTCTGTTTCAGTGCGGCGTCCTCTGGGCAAGGGAGGTTTAGTAAAAGAGGATGCCTCTGTTATAGAAACCCCCAAATGACCGAACCACCCAGGCTGTGGTTGGGATTCATGTGACTTGGGACTCATGCTGTTCCAAAGAGCATTTGGCTGTATTGCTCAATATAAAACTGCGCACCAGGCACTAGTCAGTCGCCGTGTTCAGAGCGCCCTGCTTAAGAATGGCCACATTACAGATGTTTTTCACTGCGGGGCAGCCACTCAGCCACTCTCCTTCATGCTGCTGAGTCTGCCCGGATTGCTTCCTGTGGTCAGCTGCAACCCCGCTCCATGCCTGAGTCCAAAAAGTAAGAACAGCATGTGACTGTTCATCTCTCCTAGGCAGGTAGGCCCCCAGGTCAAAGGTGACTGGTCACCTATGAATGGCACCTTCTCTGGGGGAACCTGGATGGCAGCCACAGGGCAGGGTGGGAGAGCAGGCGCAGGTGTAAGGCAGCCTGGGGTGACAGGGCAGGCAGGTCAGTGATGCTTAGTCATTTCCCATGTCTCATCTTTGCACATAAAGATGGTGGCTTTTTCTAGATCCCGGGTAGTACAGGTAGTTTCTGCCAAGTGCTCACAGCCTGGCAGGCGTCATGCCTTGCGCACTCCATGGGTTACGGACAACTGTATCCTCACATTAGCTCAGAGAGAATTCAAGTGTGCTGGCCTTCTGTCCCCCTTGACGTGAGGGAAGGCCTCTGGGGCACAATTCCCGCCCCCAGAGAGCTGCTAGCAGGACGCAGGAGAGGCCCGGCGCATGGGCAGGGCCTGGGGAGCAGGTGTGCAGACAGGTGGGTGGGGGAGCAGCGGGCCTCCCTGGTGTATGCTCCCCAGGAAGTCTGACTTTGACCCCAGGGGATCTGAGCGAGCAGCTTAAACAAAGGATGGAAGCAAAACAGGGAAAATGTGAGCGGCCTGGGCCAAAAGAGGAGAGGGAACATTTTGAGGAAGGAAAAACCAAAAGCGAGGGAGGATTTAGTCTGAGTATGGGAAGGAGGCAAGAACATGAAATGTGAGCCAGGAAGCTGCAGGCAGAGTGCAAGTCGAAAAATCCCGTGTCTGAGAGGAAAAGCCGCCTTGCCGGCATCTGTGGTGGCAGCTGCCTCGCTGGAGGGAGGATCCTATCATTGACCCCACTCTCAGTAGAGAACCAGTCTAAAGCGTGTCTAGTCCAAATCGCACAAGGATGTGTTTTTTGGTTTTGTTTTTTTTTTTTAAGTTTTTCCGAGACCTGAAGACATCTGTCCTTTGTCACAGGGTGACCCAGGAAACCCAATGATGTGCCAGCTGCAGCATCTGAACGTGTGGGTGCTGAGAGGAATCCTGTCCTACGGCGGTGAGGAGTGCCCCGGCCTGTTTCTGTACATCAGGGTGGAAGACTACAGCGACTGGATCACGGCCAAGACGAAGAGGACCAGCCCTCCCCTGTCTTCCTTCCACCACTGGAATAACCCGATTCCCTTCTTCAGCCACTTGTCACACACTGCCATGACAGAGAAAAAATACACTGGGCTGTCCCAGGTTGGACTGTCCCAAACATCCTTCCAGGGACAAAAAGGGACCACCGTGCAGTTCTGGCCAGTGAACAGCTCCAGGGAGAATGCAGACTTTAGGGGGAATGGGGTCAGGGAGCTGAGCACGTCTCCTGACATGGCCGTCCAGCCCATGTACTATGACTATTACGGTGGGGAGGGTGGGGAGAATGGGGTTATGTCAGGTCAGAACAGGTTACATCAGCCCCAAGAAATTATCTTATTTTTCTTCGTGCTTGTTTTCTTTTGCAGTGATATCTAATCTAGGAGCTAACTCTCTGAACTGAAGAGTGGGCTCAGAATGCTGAGTGCCTGGCACTCACCTTGCTGTTTTTGGTGTGTGTTTTGGGTAGCTGCACACCTGGGCTGCCACGGACAGACCCACAGCACGTAAAGGGACGGCTCTCCCTTCTCTGCCCCGCTCCCACATTCGGGAAGGTCACTTTCATTTGTGCTTGTGAACTAAATGTGGGCTAACAAGTGTCAAACCATGAATTAGAGTGCCCTGTGGTTCTTTCAGTGTAACGGTTCCAGGGGCCAGGCTGTGAAGACTCACCCACGGGCAGCTGTGGCCTGGGAGGTGACCATCAGCCTGTCTGGAGAGCTTGGGCACCAGCCAGCAGAGGCGACAGTGAGAGGATCCCATGAGTAGGAAGGATCGGATTCCTTTAATGGGTCACTTTTTGGTCTGCAAACATGGCCTTCCTCTGGCTATTTTCCTGGGGGGGTCATTTCCTGCAACTGTTCACTGCTGGTTTTCATTTTATTCCAAGCCTTGCGGTAGCCTTTTAAAGACATCTGTAAAAGAAAAACGGGATTGGGGGAGAAGAGAAGGAAAAACTGGTCGTGACTATTCAGAATGCAGCCTGCATCCATGAGATGGTGCAGGTGACCCTGCTGGGGCAGTGCCTCCCTGGAACTGTGGGGTACAGGTTTCCTACGGTCCAGATTGCTTCTGTTCAGTGAAGTGAGAAGTTGCAAGTTCTTGCTGCTCCTTTGCTACTTCTCAGCTCCAGAGCTAATGGAACTAACTCTGGCTCCTAATTAATTCCCTGTCACAAGTCTTGTGGGAGGTGCAGCTGGGTCCTGGGTGTGCAAACACCAAGTCTGCTGAGTGGCCTGACTGGGCGTTTAAGCTACTCCAGGGGGGTCTAAAATGCCCTCAGTGTGCAAACTGGCCTGTGGCATCTCTGGGCTTGTTTTTGTCTGACACCAGTACCTCTTTGCAAGTTCCCCTCTCCTCTCCACAGCTCACGGGGGCCAGGGGCTCCCCATCCTTATCCTATGAAAAGGCTGTGGGCAGAGTCAAAATGTAAGTAGACCCATGGCAGCTGTGTAAATGCATGCACTCAGGTTCTGCGTGGCATTAAAAATCCATTATTACCTCATTTTTTAAAACACTGGCTTCTCTATGTATAAAGTAGCAATCACTACATCATCAATGGTGAGGGGGGTGTTCAATAATTTCCAGAATTCATCAAGAACACGTGCAGCTGAAAATGTGCTATTACTAGAGTCTTGTTCTGATGAGCAAGAAAAGCTTGTCTTGAGGATAGAAGGGAAGCTTTAAGAAAAAAAAAAAACCCATCCTTCATTTTGGCATAGGTTGAAGCAGCTGCAGAGACACCTTGCTGATATTCTGAGTCTAGAGAGCTGTATTCTTAGCTCAAAGCAAAAATCCCAACCAAGAAGGTGAAGGGCATGGAAGCCTGCCCACCCAGGGCTCTCTGAGACCAACCTCTGCAATCTCCACTTTCCTCTCCCACGTCTTAATGGTCTTCTCCAGGTCCGCGTTCATGATCTTCTCCTGGACATACATCATCACTGTCGGAGCTCGGAATTCCACCAGTTGCTTCCGGAGTTTCTTGTTCGAAGCCTCGGCTTTTGCTCGGTCCTGGTGGGGCAGGAACAGTTAAACCCCAGAACCCCGGCAGTTCCTGCTTTACTGAGTTTAACTGGTCCTGGCATCTTCCCAGTTTAATGTACTTCTAAAAGAAAACTGTTAAAATTTTCAAAGGGGTAAGTCACAAAATTCTGATTCTTTATAGATCGTGAGGTTTCTACCCAGTTCAGAAACACTAAGCTTAATTTTAAACAGTCATTTCTTCCCTTACTAAGAACTATGCTTGACTTATCTTGATTTATTAGGTTAGCTTTTTTAGAAAAATTACATATAAGTACCCTTTGATTGGGTCTGTTTCAATTCATGTTTCTTGTCTTTTTTTTTTTTTTGTAAAATTATATAACAAAATGTGTCATTTTAACTTTTTTCAAGTGTTCAGTTCTGCAGCACTTAGTACATTGTTGTGCAACTGTCATCACCTGGCTCCCCAACTGAATATCTGTACCACTGAGACACAAACTCCACATAACCCTCCCCCCAAGTCCTGAAAACACCTTTCTACTTTCTAGCTCTATGAATTTGACTACTCTGAGTACTTCATGTAACCATACAATAATATATTTATCCCTCTGTATTGGCTTATTCCATTTAGCATGATGTCTTCAAGGCTCATCCATGTGCCAGTGTGTCCTTTTTAAGGGTGAGTAATATTCCACATGTCTACACCGCAGTTTAGCCTTTTCATCTATCAGAGGATAGTTGGGCCAATTGTTCCTTTTTGGCTTTGTGAATAATGCTGCTAGAATGTATGCTGGGTGGATAAACACCTATTGGGGCTCATGTTTTCAATTTCTACTCTAAAAAGAATTGCTGGATCATGTGGTTATTCCATATTTTCAAGAATTCTGTCTTTTAAATTTTTATTTTTTTAAATGAGCACGCAGTAGAATTAACTAGCTTTTTTCTTTTAATTGAGCAGATTTTTTAAATTAGCATTTTCCTTATAATTTTTAAAACAATCTTTTTAAGTAGGCAGCCCTCTCAATTCAAATGGCAGAAAAATATACAAGCTCCTAACCCACACCTATCTCCTAGCCACACAGGTCCATTACCCAAAGAATATACTATACTTAGATTTTCATGTATCCTAAAGATTTATGCCATTACAAAAAATATTTCCCTTTTTGACCCAAACAGTAGCATACTCAGTTTTAATCAGCCAGCTTTTTAAAAAAAAAAATCTTAATAAATCTTGAAGGTTCTTCCTTAACAGCACATAAAAATTTTATTCATTGTTTTTAATGGCATGATTTTGCATAATTTACAAGGCCTCAGAAGAGTTACTTTTTCAATCTCTAGCTATTTCAGCAAACAGTGCTGTGATTATTAGTCTTCTGGGTATAAAGGATATTGTAAATATGTAAATGTATTAGCAGGATAAACTACTGAATGTGAAGTGAACTTAGTGTTTCTCAACCTGGAGTCATTCTACACCCAGGAGACATTAACTCAAGATGTTTTTGTCTAACTGGGGATGACTAACCTCTCCTGGGGGGGGGGGCAGGAGTGCATCACACAGTTCACAGGCCAGCCCCCACCATGAGTTATCTGACCCAAAATGTCAAACACTGCCCCCCCCCACCATGAAACCCTGCCCCAAGTTATGTGTGTGCTGGGTAAAAAAGTGCCAAATCATCATTGGTAACAAGCCGGCCAGTGATATTTCAGCAGCAATAACTGCAAATGCATGTTTTCCCCCATTTTTTTCAGCAGCTTACCAGCTTTTTGATCTTTGTCAAGAAGATGGGAATATCTCAACATAGTTTTATTTTGTGTTCCTTATCTTATGAATGAAGTAGAGTATTTTAATCTTTTTGAGTTTTTCTGCAAAGTGAATATTTTGCCCGTTTTTTTCTATTTTCAGATTTTTTCTTAATTTACAAAAGTTACTGATCGCTTAAGAACATTAGCACCTTGTGATACTTGATACACTGCTTTCCAGTTTATCCTCTGGCTTCACTTATGATGGTTTTTGTGAGGTAGAAAAGTTTTCATTTCATATAATTAGTTTCAATGATGTCTTGGTTTCTAGGTTTTATATTTTAAAAGGTGCCCGACTTTAATTATTTTGGGAGGTAGAGCAATTAGGTTGTCGCTGAAAGCATTAGAGGAATCCATGAGCAATTATGGAGGCCAACATCTGGGGATGACACCAAAAAGGTAGACACCAGCCCAAAACCTTAGCTGGAAGCTGAAGGAAAGAGTCAAAAAGAGCTCAGGTCTAGTTACTAGGAAGATATGTCCACGATCAAGGTTGTACTCTGAGAAGCAACATCAGAGGCTACTAACAGCAGGAGAGACAGACTTCACTGACTTAGTCCAGATCAGTGATTAAACAAACAAGCAAAAAGTAATGAGTCCAAGAAAGAGATGGGGAGAAAGTTTTTTACACTTGCCGTAATATATTATCTAAAGTGTCCAGTTTTCAACAAGAATTATGATAAGCAAAAACAAAGCATAAAGCAATAAAGTGTGACCTCTCCAGGGGAAAAAACTGGGCACAATAAACTGCCTTTGAGAGAGTCCAGATGGTGGACTCAGAAAAATCCTCAAAGCAGCTATTATAAATATGTTCAAAGAACCAACAGAAATTATGTTCAAAGAACTAAAGGAATATATTATAATAATGTCTCACCAGATAGAGAAAATCAATACAGAGGTAGAAATTATGTTTTTTTAAATAATCAAATGGAAAACCCAGAATCTTTCAACGTAACAACTGAAATGAAAAATTCACTAGAGGGGATCAATGTAGAGTTAAGTGAGCAGAAGAATCAGCAAACTCGAAAGTGATTTGATAGAGGTTATGCAGTATGAGGAACAGAGGAGTAGAAATAGACAAAAACAATTCCCAGAGGAATTTGAGACACCACCAAATACACTGACATACACGTAAGGGGAATAAGGTGTGGAGAAGAGAAAGACACACACACACACACAAAAAGCTAAGGACATAATGGCTAAAAACGTCCCCATTTTTTTTCTTACATCATTGCTCAGTTTGGTACAGCCGACATCTCCCCCAGGTACATCCCCATAGTCTCCCACCACCGCATTACAGGTGCACCATCACCATAGTCCCCTGTTCTGACCCACCTGCCGCCTTTGCTGTATGCCTCTGATCTATGGTCAGCTTGCAAAAAACTTCCCAAATTTGATGTAAAACCTTAACACCCCATAGCCAAGAAGCTCAACAACACCAAGATATATGGCAAAGAAATCCTCACCCAGACACACCATACTCAAAAGGCTGAATCACAAAGCAAAGACAATAGTGAAAGTACAACAGAAAACAATTTTTATCACATAAGCTGAGCTCTCATCAAAAATAATGGAGGCCGGGAGGAAGTGGATGAACAGTCCAAGTGCTGAAACTATGAATCATATACAGCAAAGCTATTTTTCAAAAATGAAATAAAAAAATGATCATGGTTTCTAATATTATTCTCAAGAGGATCAAGGATTTTGCGGAGAAATGGCTGATTCCGGGACTCGGACAGCAAATACACAAGATGAGCCTGGAGCATCTTCTAGTGTCAGGAAGCAAAGTACTCAAAACAAAACAAAGCAACCCTCTTCCCCCAGAGAAGTGGCTATATGTCAAAGGGGCAGAAAAATCCACTGAGTGCTCCTAATGGCCACGCTGGAACATCGTGGACAACAAAGTAAACAACGCTAGATTATAGCCCACATGTAAATAGCCTGGCACCAGAGCTGCTACAAATGAATGGGGTACAACTCTCCCATAGAGAAAATTCCAAATAATTTAACATTTTTAAATTTATTTTTACATCAGGTAACTGGGGTACAGGCCAGAGGTGCAGCGGATGAGAGGATTCACCAGAGACAAGAGTGGGGAGTAGAACAGGCAGCTCTACTGAAATACACCACTGAGGGAAGCAGCAGGAAGACAGGAGAGGTCTGCACCATGTGGGTCACTCCCTGGCAGGGGATTGAACTCGTGCTGCAGTGGCTTCATAGTGCTGTGCTGGAACCCCTTGCGCCACCAGGGAGGGTCCCATATAGTAACTTCTTCCCAAAGAGACAATATAGGCAAGATGGTAGAAAAAGTATCTTTACCATTGAGAAACCTACAGAACACTGTCAGTCAGGGCATCGAGGTTAACATCAGCAGACATCACATGTCTTTGATACAATCTGAAGAGGACAGCACTTCAACTCTGTAGTGTTTTCCAAAAACTACGTGACCCTAATCAAGTAATGAGAAAAACACCAGCTAAATCAGCAGGGTAGGAGCATTCTATAAAAGAGCCAACCAGCATTCCACAAAACGGTCAAGCTCATCAACAAGTCTGAGCAACCATCACAGCCTGAGGAACCTAGGGAACATTACACTGAATGTAATGTCCTATCCCTGTGGGCTTGGGAACAGAAAAAAAAGGCGTTAGTTGCAAACTAAGGAAATATGAGCCATATTAATTATATACAATAGTAATAAATATTGCTATTGTTTTATTACTTTTAATAAGTATGTTTTATATTATAAATATATTTAATAAATGGGTTACAAGCTACTAATGTAAGTATTAACAACAGGAGATATATTTGGGAACACCCTGTACTATCTTCACAGTTTTCCTGTGAATCTGAAATAGTTCAAAACTAAAATTTCTTTTTGAAAAATGAAGAAAAGAAGTGAAGATATTCACAGATAGTCATTACTAGCAGATCTGCCTTACAAGAAATAATAAGGTTCTTCAGACCTAAAACAAGACACCAGACAGTAACTCAAATCAGCAAGAAAAAAAAAATAGCATAAAGAAACGTAATGATGTAGTTATAAAAGATAGTAGATACTCTTTCTCTTCACTGATTGTAAAACAATATGTATTAAATTATATTGGGGGCATGTAACATGAAAAATGTAATAGATTTGACAATGCCAGCAGAGGAGACAAAGCTGAAACAAAATTGTATTGGAGTAAGAAAATAACACCAGGTGGTGACTCAGGTCCACAGGAAGAAGTGGAGAGAAACAACCACAAATGGCAAATAGGTTAATATAATAAACTGCGTGTATTTCATCCCTTTTCTCCTTTTAGTGTTTGGACTCCTTCCTCACGCTATTTACAAAGTTAACTCTAAATGTATTATAAATTTAAATGCAAGGTCTATAAACTCTTTTAAAAAGACATGGAGGTCCCTCCCTGGTGGCACAGCGGGTGAAAGCACAGCACTAAGAAGCTAACGCTACTTCAGCATGAGTTCGATCCCAGCTTGCCCCAGAGGTGACCCACATGGCGTGGCAGACCTCTTCTGACCTGCCTGCTGCTCCCCTCAGCAGTGTACTTTGTCAGTCAGTCTGTTCTTCTCCCTACGGTCTCTGGTGAAGCCTCTCACCACCCCTGCACCTCTAGCCTGTACCTCAGTTCTGTATGAATAAATAAATAAATCTTTTTTTAAAAAAAAAGACATGGAGTAGATCTTCATGATATTGGTTCAGGTGATGATTTCTTAGGTCTGACGTCGAAAGCACAAGCATAGAAGAAATAAACCGATGAGTGGGACTTCATCTAAATAAAAAATATTTGTTCTACAAACAATACAATGAAGAAAACGAAAAGAAAACTCTCGGGAGGTAGTATTTGTAAAGCATGCATCTGATAAAAGATTTGAATCGAGACTACATAAAGATTCTTACTACTCAGTGATGAAAAGATAACTCAAATAAAAACTGGGCAAAGGACTTGAATATTCAATGTACAGACAATTCATTAGTCATCAGGGAAATTCAAATTGAAACCGCTTTACACCCACTAGGATGGGCGCAAAAGAGAAACACACAAAGACTCCCTGGCATAACGAGCATTTACAAAAGATGTGCAGAAATTGGAACCCTCGTGCTTTGTTGATGGGGATGTAATTTGTGCAGCTGGGCCTTCCTGGTGGCCTGGGAGTTAACTCTCAGCTCTGTAGCCTCTAAAATCTGAGTTTGACCCTGGGCCAGGGAGCTGATCCAAGTGGCGCAGCAGACCTCTCCTCTCCTGTCTTGCCCACTGCTCCCCTCAGCAGTGTATTTCAATAAATCCACTTGTTCTGTGCCCCACTCTTATCTGTGGTGAATCCTCTCACACTCACACCTCTGGCCTGCACCCCAGTTCTACACAAAAATAAAGTGGTGCAGCCAATTTGCCAAACAGTTTGGCAGTTTCTCTAAACCTTAATATAGAGGTACCATATGCAACCCACAATTCCACTTTTAGCTGTATGGCTGAGAGAAAAGAAAACATACATTCATACAAACACTTGCACATGAATGTTCATAGCAGCACTATTCATAATAGCCAAAATGTAGAAGCAACTCAAACGTCAGTCAACCAACGAGCAGATAAATAAAAGGCTAGGTGTATCCAACAAGGAAATGCCAGTCAACCATAAAGATAAACAAAGCATGGGTATGTGCCACCACACAAGTCTTGAAAATATTACTAAAATTCAAGAAGCCAGTCCCAGAAGACCATGCTTTGATGATCCCTTTTATATAAAATGTCCAGGACAGGCAATTCAGGGATGGAAAGTAAATTTGGGATTGCTTAGGGCTGGGGGTTGAGCATGAGGTGAGAAATGGTTAAGGATTGGGGTCAGGGCTACTTTCTGGGGTGATGCAAAGTCCCCAAATTATTGTGCTGCTGCTGATACAATTCTGTGACTGCTATAAATCATTAAGATGTATACTTTAGGTGGGTAAGTTACATGATATGTGAATGCTAACAAAAATTAACAAGAAAACTACAATACACGAGGCAGTGAATGCGAGGCTTTTAGAACTTTTGTCTGATGCTCCCCTCTCCTACCTCCTCGACTTGTATGGTTTCTTTTTCAATTTTTTCAAGCAAGTCATTTCTCAGCAAGATCTCCTTCTCCAAAATGGTAGTCATTTCCATGGCTCGGTGCAGTTTGCTCTGAAATAAAAACAACAGGTGAAGGCTTGAGCAAAGGTGACTGCTCAAAACTATAGGGAGAGGCGTCTCTTCATCAAGCAGAAGAGCAGCACTGGCCAGGAACCTGAGCCTGCCCTCCCGGGGTTGCCCAGATTTCAGTCCATGTGGCATGGGAGGAGAAGCCCTGGGGAGTCTTGCCTCCACCTGAGAGGTCAGGCATCCCACACCATTTACTAAGAGAAACTTTAAGTTCCAGAGTTTCTCTTAACAGAGCCCGAAATGTGGGTAAGTTAGCAAAAGTCCCAGTGCATAAAAACCATCCAGGGAATTTATATTTTAAAAATGCATGGCCCTCACCCCCTCTTTCATTCAGGGGGACTCCAGCACCTGGATAGCTTTTAAAACAGAAAAAGAAAAATCTCTCCCCCTGTTGCCCCCTCTTGACTCAAACATGTTGCAGGGATGTGAGCCATTCAGAGAACTGCAGGAGACACAGCTTTGCTGAAAGCAGTGGGCAGCAGGAGAGTGAAGAGCACGTAACCTTTTGCATGAAACTGCAGGGTACATGGGGATTCGTCGTGGTCAGAGAGGTGGACTAGGGAAGCCTTGGGGACAGGAACTTGGGGCAGGTCTTACTTTGTATGCATTGAGGACCTGCAGGGTGTTCCCAGATGCCAATTTTAGTTGGATCAGTTCTTGATTCTTTGCTTCAATCGTCTCTAAAAACTGAGCATTCTCGATCTTCAGTTGCTGAAAATCAACATCATGGAGGGCCTCGCCCACCTCTTCTTTCTACAGCTCAGAAGGGAAAAAAAAATATGATGTTTCTGAAGAGTTGGTTCACATCTTGCAACTCTTCATCTCAAGAACCTTGACTTAGTTACATTGCAAAATCTCTTATGACAAAGATTTCAGGAACAAGGACATGGAATTCTTTTTACCTATCACAGTAATCTTAGAAAAAAAGAAAAATAGGGCCCTCTCTGGTGGCGCAGCAGGTTAAAGTGCAGCACTGCAAGCTGGCTGCAGCTGCTTCAGTGTGAGTTCGGCCTGGAGGTGACCCACATGGCGCAGCAGACCTCACCTATTCCCACCCCACCCCCACCCACTGCTCCCCTCAGCAGTGTACTTCGTTAGTCTGCCTGTTCTGCTCCCCACTCTGTCTCTGGTGAATCCTCTCACCACCCCCGCACCTCTGGCCTGTACCCCAGTTCTGTATGCACAAATAAATAAATCCTTTTAAAAAAAATGCTTTAAAAAATGAAAGAGAAAGGAAAGGAGGAGAAGGAGGGAGTAGGAAGAGAAGGGGAGGAAGGAAGGGAGAAAAGAAGAATAAAAGAGCGAAAGCAAGCAAGCCACATACCTGCCTCAACTGTAAAAGCACTTTTTTCCTCTGGACTTTGAGAGAAACATTCTTCAAACGTAATTTATCCTTTATGTTATCCTAAAAAATGAAAGCATAGTTTAATCTATTTCTCCTCTTCTTCCCTGTTGGTTTGAAAAATGAGTAGGTCTGGGATTGAAAACCAAACCCTGAATCGCCCTAAGAATCAGTCACTTATGTTCCAGAGGTTCTGCAGCCCCAAGTTGTTGCCATGGCATTTCACCCACACCCAGGAAGCAGGGGAGACCAGGCCAGCTCCATGCACATTTTCCATTGTTTTAAATTCAAGAGCATTCAGGTATGTAATGTGCCCTTTCCTGAAAAATGATCTGACGGTTCTTTGGTGTTTTTTATTCTCGGGGTAGCTGACATAATTTTTAGTATTTACATTAGGGTCTATTTCCCTAACTATCTTCAGGGTCCAAAGTTCAAAGGGCTCTAAAATCTTTGCAAGTGAAGAAGCATTTGGTTCCTTACTGTAATAATAATGGGACTCAAAGAGCTTGGGTTTATCTGTCCCATTCCATGTAGTCACCTGACTCATAGGACCTCACCTTCTCAGAAAATTGATCAGATCTTGAAACAAATCGCAACAGTAAAAAAAAAAAAAAGCTGATCTGAGAGACTGACCATCTCCTGGGTTGATGTTAACTTTCTCAGAATCCTGAATGTTGAAACAGGCACACACTTCTGGGGATGCAAAATGTGCCTCTGTAGGCAACTTTCACGGCAAACCCAAGGAGACAGGACTGCCTCGTGGGGGTCATTTCTGTGTTGTGTGAGTCCACTCTCCCCCACTAAGCTCTAACCTCCTGCAACTCACCCTCCGATGGTTCACGTCTTCGATGTACTTCAACATTTTCTGAGTGGCCAAAATACTCCCTTTCTTCTTTGATATGGTTTTTAGAATATCTTTTTCAAACTCATACATCGCTCTCTGAATTTCAGTCCATCGGATCTCAGCTTCCTGTATAATAGCCTGGGGGAGTCAGCGCAATGAGAGAAGAGAATCGCCAAAAATATTCTCTAAAGAAACCTAAATTCTCAGGCCTCTTGGGGTCTCCATACATTAAGTTTCTTCTTAATATTAAAATGATGCTCATGGGGCTCCCTGGTGGTGCAGGGGTTAAGTCTCAGCACTAACAAACTATTGCCAGACACTGCAGCATGAGTTCCATCCCTGGCCAGGGAGCTGACCCACACAGCACAGCAGACCTCTCCTGTCTCACCCGCTGCTCCCTTCAGTAGTGTATTTCAGTCATTCCACCTGTTCTGCTCCCCGCTCTGTCTCTGGTGAATCCTCTCACCACCATCCCCATCTCTGGCCTGTACCCCAGTTCTTGTATGCATAAATAAATAAATAAATAAATAAAATCTTTAAAAAATTTTTAACAAATAATACAGTATACACTGACCATAATCACAGCTAGAGAGATGGATTAGTGGGGAGACAAAGCAGCACCCCTAGTATGTACTTCTGTAATTTAAAAAATAATGTTACAAATGAATACATGTATTGACACAGAAAGAGATTGTAAAGTGTCAGAAAATAAACTCTAAAAGGAGATAAATGCCAGATCAATTATAATTTCCTTTAGAGGGTAAGATGTGGGTATTTCCAAATGGTCTTCTTTTTGCTTACGTGTGCGTTTAAATTTTATGACAAAGTAGATTGCCTTTAAATAAGGAAACACATTATTTTAAAGAATGAAATGAAGGTATCTGTAGGTGCAGAGCAAATCACTGGGCTCCATTAATATGCTTAGAAATTAAACATTGCATGTTGAAGGAAGGAGCGAGGAGGAGATGGGGAGCAGAGGGAGGCAGAGTGGGAAGGAAAGAGAGATTTATGCAGTGCACATGGTTCTGTTAATGGTCACCAATAAGCAGAATTGTCTTCCTTTACTGGCAGGCCTCACTCCTCTGCCTGGTTCTCAAAGTCTCACAGGACTATTAAATCTGTCTTAATACAACTCCCCGAACACCCTTTTCTCTAATCACACTGGCCCCCACAGTGTCTTGAACTTGTCGTGTTTATTCCCGTGTTCATGTCATTCACCTGACCTAGGGGACCCTTCTTTTCCTGTCCATTTTTTTTCCTAAAGATTTTTTATTTATCTCTAGATAAATAAAAACATTTACCTCTGTACCTCCCTTCTGCTCCACATCTCCTTTTCTTTCCTTCCAAACATGCATTTTTGAATTCTAGCAAGCTCATGGAGCTTAGGATATGGTAGCATTAGCCTGACATGCCAGATTGTGTGAATTGAACATCATGATGTGGTCTAGAATGGCCTTAGAAGGCTTTGTTGAAGAGTTGAGCCAGAGGTGGTTGTGCCAGGTTTCGAGTTTCCCAAAGACCACCAAGGAGCTGATTCCGATGCAAAGCACAGGAGGGTCTTTATTGCAAGTTCAAGCCTGAGCTCCCAACATGCAGCGGCGCAGCAGCCAAAGTTGAGAGCTTTGAGTTGAGGAAAGGCAGGGTTTTTATTACAGATGTACATTGGTTGGTGGACATTGAACAAAGTTATCTTGTCTTAACCCGGTTGATCTATGCATGTAAGATGTGACCTTCACTACTCGGCCTGCATACCTTGGGACATCTGGCATTTTCCTGATATGTACTGGTTACTTACCTACTTGCTAATTGGCTGTTGCTATGGGATGAGAAAGATTAGGACATTTACAGTTAAATCCAGTCTTGGCATCTTGTTGATAACCAAAACTTAGGCCTGGCTGGTTCAGAAGCATTCTGAAGCCTGTCATGGCATCAGTTTGGTCTTTCAAGGTGAGGAGGGTGGTGGTGAAAGTTTCACCAGAGACAGAGTGAGGAGCAGAACAGGCAGACTGACTGAAATACACTGCTGAGGGGAGCAGCGGGAAGACAAGTCTGCTGTGCCCTGTGGGTCAGCTCCCTGGCGGGGATCAAACTCAGGCCCTTGTCGTAGGCCTTCGTGGTGGTAGTGCTAAGATTTAACCCCAAGGCTACCATAGAGGCCCCTTTTCCTATTCCTTAAGCAAGTGCCATCATTCTTCAAGATCATTCCAAGTCCTATGTCCAGCCCCAACTCTTCAACAAAGTCTTCTCAGGCCATTCTAGACCACACCGTGATGTTCAATTCACACAATCTGGCATGTCAGGCTAATGCTACCATATCCCAAGCTCCATGAACTTGCTAGAATTCAGAAATGCATGTTTGGAAGGAGAGAAAAGGAGATGGTGGAGCAGAAGGGAGGTACAGAGGGAAGAAGGGGTCGATTTACACAGCACACGTGGTTCTATCAGTGGCGACATCGTCCACTAATCTGCCCCTCTTGAGGCAAGGAGTGTGATGCTGTGTGTCCACATGAAGAAAGAACAGAAGCATCAATTTCCCTACAGTTGGACTCTCAACAGCTTCATCTCATGAACAGCTTAACTAATGATGATGTTTCTTCTCTGGTAGAAAAGAGACTTGATTTGCAACAAGACATGGAGTGTGGCTGTGTGTTCCATGTGAAGACTAGTAAGGGATTTTTCACTAATTCACTGGCTTAAACCTCAAACTTCTCATATTATTAAGAAATTATTATAAATGTTAGGTTATATTTTTTTAAAAGAATCCATATCTTAGATCCACATACCAAAATACTTAAATACACAACGTGTCCAGGATTCACGTCATAATAGCTCCGAGGTCTTTTATGTGTAGGCGGCAGTGATATGCAGGAAATAAGAGTGGCCATATGGCAATGCTGCTGCATGTGGGTGTTGAGTGCATAGGGGTTCACTGGGCTAGGCTCCCCACATTACTGAAGCTTTGAAATTTTCCATTTAAAAAAAGTTAAGAATATGATGTCTCCCTAGGCAGGTAGTAAGTTCCTTCAAGGTAGGCCCTTGACTTGTCTGCTCCTACTTGTGTTTCCTTCAAAGTACCAGTCATTAGATGAACATGCTCTAAGTACTCTTTGATAAGGGACAACTGAGGAGCCCTGACGTGGCCTCCAGAGAGAAGGGCGTACCTCATGGTGCTGCAGGTCCCGTTCTGCATTTGCCCTCATGTGCCTTATTTCATCCTTTGTGTCTTCCAGCTCCTTTTGTACAAGCTCCAATTTTTGATCAATACTGAGACCTATTAAACGGTCTACGCGGGATTTGGATCTGTGTCTGCCTCGTAACTGTCATGTGAGAAAAACAAAGCCATTGTCAAATGGGAACTCACAGTGAAGCGGCTCGAGGTGACCACTCAGTCACTTTGATGACTCCACTGAAAAGATTCTGGATGTTAGTTGAGGTTATTTCACAAGTTACAAATCAACGTAAGGCCCTGTGCTAAATACTTCAAAGGGCTGTGTTTGACAGTGAACTGAAAATATAAAAGCAAAAAAGTGTTTTGAGGGGGAAAGACCGTGAACCTATTAAAGACTAGCATTCAAGTCAGTGTCAGGAAAAGCCTGGCAGTCAGGGCTTCCCAAACTGAACACAGAAGAGAAGTTGCCTCTGCAGACACGGTGCTCAGCAAAAACAAATAGATGAAAATGTTGTACTTCCAATGCATTTAAGTTAAAGTTCACACACAGGCTGGTGGCCCCAGGAATATGTCAGCCTAAAAAGGGTATTGTTTGGTCCATTCGAAGATAGACCTTCACAACATTTTATTTTTTTTAATTTAATTACCCACCCTAAAAAAAATTAGAAGACCCCACCCAAGTAATCCAGATTTCCAGCTTCCCTTTAAAATGTACGATGCTGGCAAAAATACTCCTGTCTGGCTCTTCTAAATGAGGGAGGAATGACCCCGTGTCAAATGGGGTCCATTTCAGTCCTTCATGTGGCTGGCTGGCCTTTGTAAACAGTTGAGTGCCCCAATTTTAGAGAATCATTTTAAACACACTAAGATATTCTGAGTAAGTCAATTCATTCTTAGTTGAAGCTGATTCCTTGTACACTCACTTGAAAGAAAAACCTTGTAGGGGAAAGAAGAATCAAAAGTAGAATAGGAAGAAAGTCAGATGCCATTTGGCAAAGGGGAGAGCACTAAAAGCCAACAATCAAACAGCACTTATGTGTAAAAGGGCACAGAATAAAAGGATTCTTAGATCTCCATTGCATACCTGTGCAAACTCTGCTCCTGTTAGTTTGGCTTCTAATAATCGAGAATATCGTGGTTCCCTGGCCTCCAATTTATTGTAATATTTCTCAAACATTTCTGTCTCAGTTTTGAGAGCAGAATTTCCATAGCTGCAAGACAGAAGGTATCTGAATAAGTTCTACTAGTGGGAATTAAAACTAAAATAACTAGTACTTAACACATGCTAGCCATGTGTCACCTTCTGCAAGATTCTTTGGTGCCTCAGTTTCCTCATCTGTAAAATGGGAATAACAGCACCTGTTGTAATAGTGAATGCAAAACTTTTAGTGCTTTTTAAGCATTTGATACTTAAAGCAGAGTGTTATTTAAGTATTTGATATTTTTTAAATATATAGTCATAAAATTCATATTACTAGACTTATATTGAAGACTGTTGCTGAGCTGAAGCTACTTATTTCTTCAAGTATTTCTAATGCATTTGTGAAATTCCTCACGAGTGCCTATGTTCTTGGAGTTACACAAACTTCAGATGTTTCCTTTTGTTTGTTTCTCAGGTTTTTTAATTTCCCGTAAAGTATCCACTGGAAGTTTATTATAAATGCTGGGAAAGCTTTGAACAGATTTTTTTCTAAAACAACTTGAGATGATAAAACCTAATTTATCATGAATGTGTCAAGGTTATCACCTTCCTAACTCTTTAACTTCATAGAAATATAATACACGTTATATCTGTATATGACACACGTGTATATATGACAAAGGACAGCTTTGATATTTTCCTATATTATTGAGCTAAGTCCTGCTTTGCTGAATTTTAAGATTATTGGTAAAGACTCAATGGAATGCCCGATAAGTCAGTGAGTCTTTCTCAGCACATGTCATATTTCCAGAGTAGGCTTCATCCTGACTAGCTAGCTGTGTGATCCTAGGAAAGTGACTTAACTTCTGCATCTTCTGTTTTCTCATTCACAAACTAGTATTGCTGTACCATTATAGAAGGTCATATATGTAAAAGAGTTGGCACATAATAATATGTTTAAAATATCCCAAGTGTGACCTAAACTATTTATGGACATAGAAAGTAAACCCCTTGAGATGATAAAACCTCATTTATCCTGTATTGCCAAGCTACCAGTGCCAGGCTATCCAGTGTGAGGCCAATATGTTGAACAAAAACCTCAAGTGCATCATGAAATTCTGACATCCAATTTACTTGCTATCGTAGCTATAAAACGTACTGCTAAGATACAAAAGATAGAGCCATACTTTGCTGTCCCTCTCCATGCTTATATTTTGCTTCAGTCATAAGTTGTCTCAAACGAAAAAAATATCTTCAGTCATTTCTTTTCTATCTTGCTGCCACGTAATTTTGTCAATCTTTGCATTGGAAAGGGCCTTAGACGTCACTTGGTCCCACCCGCCCCGCACAGTGGAGAAGCAGCTAAGCTCTTGGTTTTGCACCAGATCGGCCCCAGCACGCAGAAGCGTGGGCTTCACCAGCGCCCCTCCCAGCTGGCCACCCCCACCCCTCGCATCCCCACCCAGTTCCTGTTCCATTAACGGCTTGTTAGCTCCGTGGTCGTGGAGATAAAAAGGTAAAGAGCAAAGGAGGTGGCTTCCCCACTTTGGAGGGCGTCTTAGTTTCCTCTGTGTTCAATGCGGATGTGGAAAGTCTCCACGCTGCACCCAGGGCGGCCCCCCGAAAGCGGCCGGCGGGTACCTGAGCTCTTCCACCAGCCCCACCAGCTGGATAACAGGCAGCTCGTTCTCCTCCCCGACCTGCAACTCTGTGACATTGTTCTCAGAGTTTTCGTCATTCATTACCGCCCAAGTGGCCCTTGCTGAAAGCCGAGTGTGGCGGAGAGCGACGAGGGCTAGCGGCCGCGCGTCACTCCGCCTGCGACCCTCCTTGCGTTGCCGGGGCAACCCGACGACAACCACCGCGAGCGAGGGGGCGGGGCTTCCGCAGTCCCCGCCCACCGCTCCCATAGGAGATTATATGAGAAAAACTGACTCAGCTTACAATCTCTCCATAATAACCATGATAATTGTCATTGTTATTTCTTAATACAGTTATTACCAATTGGGTAATATTATTATTGCTTCATAAAAGCACTTGCGGCAATGATTGTTTCAGTCACTGTTTATTGAGTGTTCCCTGTGTGCAGGACAGTGGACCCAGCACGTCCTACACGTGAGCGCGTTGCTTCAGCACGATGGGACCGTGAGATCCAGGTGACGGCTTAACCCCCATTTTACTCATGAGGAGAATGAGGTTTGGAGAAGTTATGTAACTTTTCCAAGGTCACGTCGATCTTCTGAGATGGGGCTGAAATCCACACCTAGGGTCATCCCATTCTACTCTGTCGTCTCATTATATCTGCAGTTGTTTTGAGGGGCAGGTGAAGAAAGGGGCTGTTATCCACCAAGGGGATATTTGGCCATGCCTGGAAACATTCTGTTTGTTATAATGGGGAGGGAAGCGGGGGGAGCATTATTCTACCTTTCAGCGAGAAGCTAGAGGTGGTGCTTGTATTAGCTCCTCAGGGCTGCCAGAACAAATTGCCACAAATGCGGTGATTTAACTGAAATTTACCGTCTCGCAATTCTGGAAGGTAGAAGTCCAAAATCAAGGAGTTTTCACACTCTAGCTGAAGGTTCTGGGGAAGATGCCTTCCTTGCTTCTTAGCTTCTGGCCAGTGGACATTGCCAGCGATCCTTGGCATTCTTTGGCATGAGGCTCTAAGGACCCCAGTCATGAGATTGGAGGGCTAAGCCCAGGGTGATTTTATCTTCAGATCCTTAACATCTGTATAGAATCTTTCCACCAAGGCCATGTCCTGAGGCTCCAGATGAGCATAAATTTGGGTGGGCACTTTTTCAGTCCATGACACCCAAAACATCCTGCAATGCACAGGACAGCTCCCCACAACAACAAAGAATTATTAAGCCCCCAAATGTCAATCGTGCCAAGGTAGAGAAACTCTGCTTTGGAGGGAGGTAGTTTCTCTTGGGACCAAGGAGAATGTACCTCTGCTAATTCAGATAGCTACCTACAGAAAAGGTCTCAGAATGGCCAAAGATGATGCTCTCCCCTCCACTTTTCTGGACCCATTTGGCTGACAGCCTCCAGATCTCCATGTACCCCTTCCTGGCTATCACCTGCCTGGCATTTTGTAGCATTTTGAGGTAAAAATAATACTGTCAGTTTCACACAAAACTGCCAGCATAAATAAGAAATACCTGGTCTTTTCTTACCCAAGAGGGAAGTTACTTTAAAAAAAAATCAGGGCCCTCCCTGGTGGCGCAGCAGGTTAAAGCACAGCACTAAGAAGCTAAAGCCACTTCTGCATGAGTTCGATCCCCGCCCCAGAGGTGACCCACATGGCGAGGCAGACCTCTCCTGACCCGCCCGCTGCTCCCCTCAGCAGTGTATTTCAGTCGATCTGCCTGTCCTGCTTCCCACTCTGTCTCTGGTGAATCCTCTCACTGCCCCTGTACCTCTGGCGTGTACCCCAGTTCTGTATGCATTTAAAAATTAATCTTTTAAAAAATAAATAAAGGAACTTGGGCTCAAGTGACTGACTAATTGCATGACATGGGAAAAGGACCAGCCCTGTGAGGTGAGCCACTGCCTGACGGTTCTCACAGCCTTTCCCTCCATCTTTTAACAAATACTTGTTGAGCACCTATGTGCTGGGCCCTGGGGATGCAGTCGAGAGCAGAGTGGCTGGTGTGCTTCTCCCAGGGAGTTTCCAGTTAGGTTAAACAATTATAATCCTGTGCAGTAAGAGCTCTAAGAGGGAATGTCCACATTTCTGGAGCAAGTGACATGTAAGCTGAGATTTGAAATCTTAATAGGATACAAATCCAGAGAATCAGACACCTAGGCCAAACTCCAGCACCATCTGGGCTCCCAAGCAAAGACCAGGGAAGAGAAGTGTTGGGAAAGAGAGAGTTTGTGCAAAGGGGAGTGTGAGCTGTTTGGGGCACCGAAGGAAATGTCTAGGCCTCTCCTTTAGAAGAAGAAAGCAGAGAAGGTCATTGCTAGTTTCACCTTCTTCCAGGGGAGCCTCCAGGGGGGCTCCCTTTGACCCCCGCTGTCTGCTGTGCGCTTTCTCTTGGTGTCCACATTGAATTCAATTCCCTTTTTCTTAATTTCAGGAACCCACATCTAGGGATGAGTCTCAGAGGCTTTTAGCTTTATCTAAAAGCACAGCAGGACATAAAGCATGGCCAGAAATCCTTAGTGTCTGTCAAATGTCTCAAAATTGCTTTGTTCCAGCCAGGAGGAGGCAAGGCAGACAGATAAGGTAGCCAGCCCCACCCCTTTTGAAAGTCAGAATAGGAGGCCTTGGTTACCAGCAATCAGCCTCATTTTGGGCCTCTTGTTCGTGCTAGACCAGAGGGGAGCAGAGGAGGGAAAAGCCTGGGGTCTGGAACAAAGGCGCAATTCAAGTCCTGCCCTGCCACTTCCTGGCTCTGACCTGGAGCAGGTGACCTTGCCTTACCCTGTCTCCTTTCTCATAACCACTCCCACAGGCGCCCTACACAGGGCTGGGCACCCCAAAAGGACCGAGGTCTTTAGCTATGTTTCTTTCTCATCTTTGATTGTGAACCCAGACCCAGACTCTTCCTTCTTCCAGTTTCTGGGGATGCTCTCTGGGCAGAGATGGGAGAGACTGGAAGTGGGAAAACAAAATAATTCCTCCACTAGGATATTCACTTTTGCTTAAGCAAACTTTGTACTGAAGAGGAATGTACAAGAGAATGTACATGCAACAAAAATGCAGTTTGACCAAATTTCAGAAACAGAAAACACTTGTGTAACCAGCATGGGCCTGAGGAAACAGAATGTTACCAGCATCCTAGAAGCACCCCCAAACTCCTTTGCTGTCTCTCTGTTCTCCCCCCTCTCCCCGGAAAGTTAACCACTAGCCTTCTGAAGGAGATCTTCGCGTTACCTCTTGTTTTTTTATAAACGGAATCACACAGCTCACTCTTTTTTGTATCTGGCTTCTTTCACTCACCATCATGTTGACAAGAGACATCCACATTAATGAGGGTAATCACAGATGGCTCGCTCTCCTGGCTGTAGAATATTTCATTGTGTTTTTCCAATCCTCTGCCGATGAGATTTGGGGGAGTTGCCAGTCGGAGGCTATCCTAACAAGCGTTGCCATGAACAATCTGGTGAACGTAACGTACACACTGAGGAGGTCATTATTATGGGCTGTGTTATGTTCACATTGGTGGATACTGCCAAACAGTTTTCCAGCGATTCTACCAGGGTTTACTTTTGAAAACAATCAGTGACGGGGGACACTGACCTCCTTTCTCAAGGGGCAATCTTTGGCTCATACACATTTCTGAAGCCGGG